AAAAAAAAAAAGAAAGAGAAAGAAAGAAAGCTTTGAAAAAAAAAGGTAAATGGGGCACCAAAGAACAAAGAAAGGCTAGAGCCTCTGTCTGAGTGCAACTGGAGAATGAAGACAGATGACAGTGAGAAATCTTTTCTTCAGTAAGCACCATGCTTGGGGCTTCCAGCATTAGTTTTCAGCCTCTGGCAGTGACACATGGCTGCCATCTGGAGACACCATTTCCAAATTACAGAAAGTCTTTTAAGCAGTCCAGTTGCAGAACTGTTGATTATAAGGCCACAACACATATCACAAAGACCTTATTTGGGAGACTGGGACCTGAACAATCACTCCCATTATATATCTCTCCCATAGTCTGTCAAAGAAAATACACATCAGATTAGAATGGGTAGAATAAGTAAGAATGGTAAAGGGAAATATAAAGGTCAGGATAAATGCTAAGACAGTAGGAGAGGCCCCAACTATTGTAAATAAGTTCAAATTTTCTGCCTCAGAAGAATCCTGGCATAAAGACAAAAACGTTGAAAGGCTATGGAAAAGCAAATACAATCTCAGTTTTCAAATAAGGAAGAAGGTAGCCTCTGGGAGCTATAGCCTGGTGACACTGACAGCACTGAAAGCATAGTGTGCTAGAATATTTAGACATAAGGCTATGGCAGTTACACAGAGAAGTAGTGATCTCCAGGAACCCTCTGGAACAAGTAATTCCAGATTGACCTAATTTCCTGTTTGGGTAGGGTCACCAGACTGGTAGAGCAGGGGAAATGGTGGATGCGCTATGTGGAAGTAAGTGAGGCATGTGACAATGCTTTTCATGCCATTGATGTGGATGACATGACATACAGGAGAGGTGACAATATGGTTAAAGATTCATAATTGACTGAGCAACTGTACCCAAAGAATGCCCATGGGAAACTGAAACAAGGATGTGGTTAAAAGAAATCAAGAAGGCAATCCCATTTACGATAGCTACAAAGAAATCTAGAAATAAACTTAACCAAAAAAGTGAAAACCTATACACTGAAAATCATAAAACATTGATGAAAGGAATTAAAAAGGACACAAAAAATAGACATCCCGTGTTCATGCATCAGAAGAATTAATATTGTTAAAATGACCATATTGCTCAAAGCAATCTACAGATTCAATGCAATTTCTATCAAAATACCAACATCTTTTTCACAGAAATAGAAAAAACAATTATAAAATTCATATGGAACTAAAAAACAGTCAGAATAGCCAAAGCAATCCTCAGCAAAAAAGAACAAAACTAGAGGCATCACATTACCTGACTCAAAATATATTATAAAGGTATAGTAACCAAAACAACATGGTATTGGTATAAAAATAGATATATAGATCAATGGAACAGAATAGCAAACCCAGAAATAAATTCATATATTTATAGCCAATTGATCTTTGACAAGGCCATCAAGAACATACATTAGGGAAAGGACACTCTCTTCAGTAAATGGTGCTGAGAAAACTAGATAATCATATACAGAATATTGAAATTGGACCCCCATCTCTCCTCATATCCAAAAATTTACTCAGGATGTATCAAAAACTTAAATGTAAGACCCAGAAGTATAAAATTACTAGAATAAAACATAGGGAAAGCTCCTCATGATATTGATTTAGGCAACAATTTTATGGTTAAGACCTCAAAAGCACAGGAAACAGAAAGAAAAATAGACCAAGAAGGCTATATTAAACTCAAAAGCTCCTGCACAGCAAAACAACAACAAACAAGCAACTGAGTGAAGAGACAGCCTCTTGAATGGGAGAAAGTATTTGCAAACTACTTATCCATCAGGGGACTAATAATGTCCTGTATATACAAGGAACTCAACTCAACAGTAGAAAAACAAACAATACACTAAGGGTGAAGGACATGAATAGACATTTCTCAAAAGAGGGCACACAAATGACCAAGAGATGTATGAAAAAATGCTCAACATCACTAATCATCAGGGAAATGCAAATCAAAACCACACAAAGATGATATCACTACTGTTAAAATGGTTATTATTAAAAAGACAGGCCAGGCGTGGTGGCTCATGCCTGTAATCCCAGCACTTTGGGAGGCCAAGGCAGGCAGATCACTTGAGGTCAGGAGTTCGAGACCAGCCTGGCCAACATGGTGAAATCCCATCTCTACTAA